AAGGACATTTTCACCTGGAGGATATAACATTTATAATCCAGCACAAATTAAAGGACAAGTAGAGAGTGAATGTAGTGGTTATTCTTATTGTAGAAATATGAAAAACATACACGACACTAGCTTCAAATTGCATGGCTACCTAGAATGGTGGAATAAGTTGAAGGCACAAAAGTAAAAGGCAGCTACTGGTGGCACCAGACAAGCATCACTAATAGATATCAGGCCCTAATTGTCATTACCTTTACTTGTAGAATCCAAAGATAATGCCATAATTCTTTCTAAAAATCAAGGTAATAGCCACTAGCAGTGTATCACCTACTTATATAGAATCTAAAAATGATTAGATAGTAGACTTGGTGCTACAAATTACATGACTTTTTGTTCAGGAGACTTTGTCAATACTATAGAACTGAGGCGAACTGAGGCGAACTGGTATAACCAATGCCAATGGGGTTGTATAAAGGCGAATTGGTATAACCAATGCCAATGGGGTTGTATACCCTGTTATAAGGGTTGGAATAGTGCACATATCACCTTCCATATCATTAACTAATATTTTTTTAATGCCTATTCTTTTATATAAATTGTTATTTGTTAGTCAAGTTATTTAAGAACTAAACTATGTAAGACCAATGTATCTAATTTTTTTTTTCCTTTTTTAGTATATTTTCATGAAGGAGATCATTGAGCGTGGTACTAAAAGAGAGAGGTTATATTACATGGATGACTTTAATCTAAACAAAGTCAACACTATGAGTCGTTTATTAATTGAAAAAAAAAAACTAGATTTGGCTATGGCATTATCAATTGAGACATTCATCTTTTATCTATATGAAGCATTTCTTTCTGAAATTATTTTTAAATTTGAATTATTTAGACTTTAAATGTGAAACTTGCATCCTTGTAAAGAGTCATCTTGTATCTTTTCCAATCAGTTTTAATAAAAGTGATACCTTTTTTTTTTTGTCTTGGTTCACTCTAATGTTTGGGGATTGTCTCCTATTATCATTGTCTTTAGCATACATTGGTTTGTCACCTTTACGGATGATTGTACTAGGATGACATGACTTTATTTGCTGAAATGCAAAGATGAAGTCTTCGATTTATATCGTGCATTCCATGCAAGGATTCATAGCCAATTTTAAGTAAAAATACAAATTTTTTGATCTAATAATGGGAGGTAATATATGAATAATGATTTCTAAGCGTTTTTTCAAAGGAATGTTATTCTTTAAGAATTATCGTGTAGTTAGACTCCACAACAAAATGGAATGACTGAATGAAAAAACCAACATATTCTATAAACTGCATATGTATTGTTATTTAGAGCACACATGACCAGTAGATATTAGGATGATAATGTCACTACTGTTGTCTATTTACCTAATCAAATGCCATCTAAAGCCTTAGAATTCAAGAATCCACTACAGGTTTTGTTACGATATGTTACTTTACTACCCATACTCCTTCTACCACGTGTGTTCAGTTGTGTGGCATTTGTTCATTTACATAAACATCAACAAACTAAACTTGAATCACATGTTGTTTGTTTAATGTTTCTGGGGTATGGTTCTAATAATAAGGGATTCCGTTGCTATGATCCTATCCAAAAACGACTATGTACTATAATAAATGTCACTTTTCTAAAATCAACATATTTTTACTCATCCAAAATATCAACTTCTCTTCTTCAGGGGGAGATGTGGGATGAAGAGCAAAAGTGATGGAATATTGATATTCAAGATATAACAATAAAAATAACTCCAAACTTGACAGCTAAGAGTGATATAGAAGGTCCGATACATATAACACCTCAAGATATTGCAGCGGGCATTAATCTGAATGAAGCTATTGAAGCACCAACACTTAATATCAGTAAGACAATAGATAGGGAAGATCAACAAATTGCACCCAATACACATAGTAAAAACCCTATTTTGAAGTACCTGATAATGAAACTCTTTCTTATAAGGATATTCCTGAGTTAATTTCTCGTATACCATTTTTCAATAATATTTTAAACTCTTTTACTGGTTATCACTCCCCTTTCAAGCATAATAGAGGCAAACCCCTAACCTGTTATTCATCAGATAATGAGGGAAATACTCAAAGTACCTCATCTCTAATTATGTATCCACACAAAGACTATGCATGCCTCTTAAAGCCTTTATACATAAGTTGTCCTCCTGTCGGATTCTTTATAGAATTCATGAAGCTTTAGCAGATCCTAAATGGTCATAAGCAATCCAAGAAGAAATAATAACCCTAGAAAAGAATAGAACATGGAACATTGTCACATTGCCACAAGGAAAAAAAATGTTAGGTGTAAGTGGGTGTTCTCCATCAAACATAAAGCAGATGGATCCATTAAGCGACACAAGGCAAGATTGCTAGCAAAGGATTACACATAAACATATGGAATAAACTATTAAGAGACTTTCTCTCTAGCGATAAAGCTGAATACAGTCAGAGTTTTGTTATCTTTGGCTGCAAATTTAGACTAACCACTACACCAATTTAATGTAAAAAATGTCTTCCTTCATGGTGACCTTGAAGAGGAAGTATATATAGATATCACATAAGGATATATTTCAGCTACTCTTAGAATTATTTGCAAATTACAACGGACTTTATATGGATTAAAGCAATCACTATGTGTATAGTTTGATCAATTTAGCATGGTTATGAGAAAGTGTGGTTTTCAACAAAGCAACTTATACCATACCCTTTTCCTAAAAAGACAATAAGGAAAGGTAACTATCCTGATAATTTATGTAAATGATATGATCATTATAAGAGATGAAAAAGGAGAAATTGGAAGGTTGTAAGAGTAATTAGCTATTGAATTTGAAATGAAAAACTTAGGTGGACTAAAGTACTTCTTAGGGATCAAGGTGGGGCATCTTTCTTTCATAAAAAAAATATATATTGGACCTATTGATTGAAGTGGGAATGCTTGATTGCAAACTAGCAGATACTCAACAGTTTAGAATAAAAAACTTGGAGTGTATCTTGAATAAGAACCAACTGATAAAGATAGGTATAAATGATTGGTGGGTAAACTGATTTACTTATCTCATACTCATCTAAATATTTCTTATGCTGTTAGTATTGTTAATCAATTCATGTATTGTCCTAACAAAGATTATTTGGATGTAGTTGTTGAAATTATTCGATACCTAAAATCCACTCCAAGAAGAGGACTTATGTTTTCCAAGAATGGTCATTTAGATGTTAAAGATTATACAGATGTTGACTGGGTAGGAAATTTGTTTGATAAAAAATCTACATGTAGCTACTTCACTTTTGTTGGTGGTAACTTGGTTATATGGAGGACTAAATAACAGAAATTAATAGGTTTGTCAAGTGCTAAAGCTAAGTTTAGAAGAATGACTAATGGCATTTGCTAACTTCTTTGGCTTAGAAAATTACTCTTGGAAAATGGTTTCATTCCCAAGTTAGGAATGAACTTGTAATGTGATAATAAAGATGCAATTGTAATTTCTCAAAATCCAATTTAGCATGACCAAACAAAGCATATGAAGATAAACCGGCATTTCATTAAACAAAATCTTAAAGAAATATCAAATTGCTTTCTTTTATTAAATCAGAAGATCAAGTTGCTGATATGCTCATAAATATTATTTTCAACAAAAGTTTATGTAGCTCACTAACAAAAATTTATGTAGCTCACTTGGCAAGTTGGGTATCAAAGATATCTTTATACCAACTTGAGGGAGAGTGTTAGCATGAATTATAGAATCAAATTTTAGAAATCAATTTTCAATATCATGTAATTGTATACATCCTGATAAGATTATATCTACTTACCTATCATAGTTATACGTGGAAGGGTTGATTGTATATATATATATATAAAAGACTACTATATAACAGGAGAAAGTAGAGTAGAAAAGAACAATAATTTCTCTCTGAATTATCACTTGCTACTTCATAACAAAACAGCCTCTCCTTAATAAAAAGAGGCAGCCCACCATATCTCAGAAGAATTGGGTTCACTTGGCAGCCCACCATATCTCAGAAGAATTGGGTTATGATTAGAGTGCAGATGACCAAGGTTTTTCACTGCTTGAGGGAATAAAGGCGCCAACTATTATTAGCAAGTGCTCGATCCATCTTCTTCACTACGTGTCTCACCCCATAAATATGTCTATGCCGTGTAAAGTTTTGTCCCTGGGACTCCAGGTCCAATAAATTACATGCCGCCAACACCTCAAGCTGTAATCATAGAGAAAGGGCTCCCATGAATCTCTGAAGGCAGGATAGTTTCATTGAAGTCTCCAATTAGCATCCAAGATCCACGAACAAAGGATTTGATCAGGATCAGATGTTTCGAAAGTTTGTGACGTACACTAGGAATCGGAGAGGTATAGATTTCTCTGATAAACTCCAAGTCTGATTACTTGCTTGAATCTCCAGTGTAATGCTCTGTGACATGGAAACAATTATGGATGTATTGAACTGTCGACCTGACGTAAGAATCCATATACCACCAGCATGTCCATTAGATTTCACAATGGCTAGCTGCAGTTGAGTACCCTAAGTTCAGCCAAAAGTTTGCCACCCTGCCAAATTATGCATGTGTTTCCAGAAAAATAACAATATTAGGATGATATCTCTGTATCAATTCCTTAATTAGAGTGACGCAGAATTTTAAGTTGGCAGAACCGTGCATATTCCAAGAGATAACTGTAAAGTTTCTCAACCTAATTTTTAAATAAATAATAAAAAATAAATGGGTAAAAATATATTTGAAAATGGGTTAAAACAACATAAATTCAAAATTCAGGAATGAAATTATCAGATTTGAGAATAAATTAGTAAGAAATTGAAGAATTAATAAGTTTGAAAATTTAATTAAAATTTCGATTAGTTTAATTAATGAAATCAGAAAAATTAATAAGTTTGCAAGCTTAATTAAACTTTGATTTAATTAATTAAATAAATTTCGGGATTTAATTGAAATTAATCCAAGGGTCAAATTAAAAACAATTTATTGATTAAGGGACCCAATTGATACATTTCAAAAAGGCAGGGACCAAACTACAATTTGTCATTTTTCACCCCAAATGACGCCGTTTTGGATTCATCATCTGTTGGTTGAAAACCGACTCAACAGGGGAAAATCCGGCAGATCATGAACAGAGGAAATTCCAGCAAATCACGGCCACTACACCACGATGCCGTTTCTGAAGCCCACGATCTCTCGCCTCCACGATGCTCGCCATTTCTGGAGACAGGGACACAAGACTTTCTCTGGCTTTATAAAAGCCGGAGAAAAGTCTTAGTAAGGGGGAGGAAAAACATGGCATAAAACACAGCAAAAAAGGCAAATATACAGGGGACGACCAGAGAAGAAAACACATACGGGGAAAAAGAACTGGGGGGAACCAGAAAAAGGACTCAGAAATCCAGAGCAAAAAAAAAAAACAGAGCCAAAGAAAAGCAATTACACAGAGAAGGAAAAAAAGAAGAAAACAGTGAGCATAAGAAAGAAGAACGCAAGCAGAAAACCCGGAGACCAACTTCAACATCACTGTCGTCTTCATCGCCTACAGAGGAACCCAAGACATCGGTGTCCATAGAAAACCAGCGCCTTCATCATCACAAAAGCAAAAAAAAAAAAAAAAAAACAGAAGAGAAGGTCATACGCAGACGAGAGGCATCGATGCGGTGCAAGCGTCCTTCTCTGCCTTTAGATTCCAGTTAATTAGCACCGCATTGTGCAAGTGAATATTAATTCACTTGCACAGTGTAGCAACACGCGTGGATTAGCACACGCGTGTTGCTGTGCTCGGCTAGGTCACTGGCTTGGGCCAGTGACCGGGCCGGGCTGGCTGGGCCTAGCCTAGCTCAAATGGGCTGAGTTGGCCCAGCCCAGAAATAAATAAAAAATAAAAAAAATAAACTAAAATTTGTGTGTATATAAATAAAAAACATAAACATAAATTTATTGTTTTTATTTAGTAGCGTCAGAATCAGAATAAAAATACTAATTCAAATTTATTTCATTGCATTTTATTTATTTACATAAAAATAAAAATGTGCATGCAAAATTTTTTTTATTGGTTTATTTACTGACATCAGAGTCATAAATAAAAAAAATACTGATTTAAATTTATTTTTTATCTACATAATATTTATCAACATCAAAATTAAAAATATTTATAATTGAATATTTATTGATGTCAGAGTCAGGAATATTACACGTGAACCATCAAAGTATAAGCCAACAAAATATTAGTAATTTATGAAAAAAATCAGTAATGCATCCTGCCTCTGGCAGGATATTTAATGAGTTATAATATTTTTTTTTTCATAACCAGTCTTGTACCATAGAATCTTTATTGAATAGTTAGGGTTTCTATTGACTATAATACTAGGTAGCGACCTCTTAAAAAAGACCATTCCCAGAATAAAATATCAAAAATTTATTTTTTTTCTTTAAAGATTAATTCTTAAAATCATATAATGTAGGGTGCGACAAAGTTACTGAAGAAATTCATAAAAGATGACAATGAACACCAAACAACACAGCTCGTGGAGTGCTGACATTCATATGTCTCCCATTACTCTCCCGAGGACAAACTCAATTAACACTCACAGTAGAAGGCACAACCGAAAGCAAACGCATGTCCACCAATTGGTACTGTTCCATTGCTGTATTAAGTCCAGGATCACGAGGATTGTCAGCCAGGCTTCCCGCAAGTTGCTTTGAGATTGCACGGATAGGGAGCAGCCCTGCCTTATTTTGATCACCGCCTAAGTCCTCTGATGTATTACCTGTAGCTTGAGAAGAACCCACAAAGAAAAATTGTTTAAAGGTTCATATATATCTGAAGCGGAGACTGAAATTTCAGGCTTCAATTTTCCAGGTTTCCTTGACTTGTTTAGCTTTAAATCTAGTTCCATTAGTTCACTTGTTTAGCTCACAAAAGGTTTTCTGTTTCCAAATTTTCTTGACTTGTTTAGCAAAATTATTTTCCAGTTTCAAAATTAACTTCAAGTTAATTGCATTTTAATCTAATATCGACAGTACACAACTTTTTGAGACAAAACAACATCAAATCTCATTTATTTCAAAAGATTATTGTGTGTACCGAACTTTATATACCGTTTATATATATATATATGGTTTATATATTGTCATCTGGAATCCACATGACATAAAAAAATCTTTAAGGTTTTATCAATTAATTAATGATAGCTTATTCACGTTAGTTTTCTTCTTCATATAATTAACATGCCTGTTTATATAAGCCACATAAAACCCTACAAAAATAAAATACATTCTCTTCCGGCCCTAATAACCTATTTTGTATTTCAAAATGAGCTTGTTTTACGTGTTTAAATTCTTAAAAACACCTAAACAACCTAACAAAATATATATAAAAAATTAAAAATTAATATTTTTTTTTAAAATAACAATATTAAAATATTCTTATGTATTGTTCCACATTGATGAAGAAATGAAGTAACAAATATTTGATAAAATGATTGTCATAACCCAATTTTTTACCCTCATTTTTATATATATTCTAAAAAATTTTAAAAACATATTTAGTCCATTTTAATCATTTCATTACTTTTGTGTAATTTCATGTATCAAATTAAGTTAGCTTAATCATAAACAAAATACAAACTTACAAAAAAAAGTTTACATATATATAGTTAGGGGAAAAATTGGACCAATAGTTGAGCCACACAAATCAAAGTTTAAGTTTAAGAAGTTGAATTACATTCAACAATGGTTTGGCTTACAATTGGAAACTTTTGGGAAGAGAAATTGAATAAAAAAACTTAATCTGACTTCAATTTGGCTAAGATTAGAAAATTTGAAGAGTCAAGGATGAATTTGAAATACATGGACAAATTAAAAAGTCAAATAGGGACTTATTTGAAGAAGAAAATTGAAATTGGAAGTCAAATTGGTTAAAATTGCAAATTTTCAAAAACTAAGGACTATAATTGAAAAGTGGCTAAATTGAAAAAAAAATAATTCCACAATTTAAAACATTAAATGAATACAATTGAGAAAAGCTGAAAATCCAAGAACAAAAATGAAAAAGAGAAAGTATTCGAGGATTCAATTAAATCTGCCCTACATTGTTCTTTAAAGAAGCTTTTGAATCATTCATCAATCGAAATTCCAGCATTTTCTCTCCATAAAAAGGAAAGGAAATTCACAAGAAAAGGAGGAGACCTTCTTCAAAAGAAAAAAGGCCTCTCAAACACCAAGAGATAAAATAGGAGTCCCTTTGCTCGATTCCAATCCTCTATTGAACGTTGATTTTGTAGCTTGGAATAATCTTTTAATTTATCTTAATGTTATGGTGAAAAATAGGGTTGATCAGTGAAATGATATTGTGTGTGTGATTCGCACTCTTTTTTTTTTAGTCGTGTGTATGTGATGCATACTTTTTTTTTTAACAAGTTATAGACAATATTTATTTTTACAGTGATATCATGTTTTTTTTTAATTGATTTTTTAAATTAATTTTTAAATTTTTAAATTTTTTAATGTGCTGAAATTCATAATAAATTTTAAAAAATAAAAAAATATTATTTTAATATATTTCCAAATAAAAATCAATTTTAAAAGAAATTATTATTGAAATGTTAAACACTAACCAAAAATAAAAAAGTAAATAAATAAGAAGAAAAGAAGGAGATTGCCATAAAAAAACTAACCATTTGTTCTTCTTAACTTGCATCATGGCAAAACATTTATTCTTTTAAAAAAGACAAAAAACATATATATTTCTTTGCATAATCTAGCATTTTATACCATGTTTAGCATTTTTTTTTTAAACTATTGTGTTGCTGTATTTTTAAAATATTCATCACATGCATTTTGAGACTTATTAACAAGTTTATTAAATCCATTAAAAACTTAATCCAAATTAAATATCTCATTGAATCTATATACCCAAAAAAATAAAAAAAACCCATCATTTTTGGAAAATAAACAATAATAGTAATTTTCAATTGATAAATGATAAGTTTGTATTGAATGAACTGGGTAAAGCTTATTTTTGTTGGTCCGATGTTCATTTTAAAATTTCAATGCAATATTATTTGAAGTAAATTGATTCACAATGAGTTATTATCTCAAATCTAAAAAAACTTAATAAATATCTAATTCTTAAACTTTTAGTCTATATTTATTTTTGGGAATTCACTTTTCAAACTTTTTTGTATTTGTTTGTCATTAGAAAAGTTGGTCAACGGAAAACACTTTCCAGTTAAAGAAAAATTTAGCTTGCTTTCCAAAAAAGTATTTTTCTAAAAAATTTAGGCGGAAAACACTTTCTGGTATTTGCTGATTATA